CGATCATGTCTGGGAGGGAAACGGGTCCTGCACCCCGGGACCTTCCCCCAGGACGAGATTGTCATCCTGAATCGTTCTTTGGCAGTCCCTCCGCCCGTGGGAGCCGCCGGCAGCGGCGAACAAAGACCTCCGGACCCGCTGCCCTCCAGACCCGCTCCCCCATGGTGATGTTTTCTCCCCTCCCCCTCCCTCTCTCCCTCCTCCCCCCTCCCCCTCCCTCCCTCCCTCCTCCCACCTCCCCCTCCTCCTCCCTCCCCTCCCTCCACTCCCTCCCCTCCTCCCTCCCCTCCCTCCTCCCTCCCTCCCCTCCCTTCCCTCCCCCCTCCCTCCCTCCCTCCCCTCCCCCCCCCTCCCTCCCCCCCCCTCCCCTCCCTGCCGCCTCCTCTCCCCCCCCCCCCTCTTCCCTCCAGGCGCCAGTCGCGCCCCAAGCGCTGCCCGCCGCTCGGGGCGCGCACCTGTCGATGGCGGAGACGCTCCGGGTGCCGGCCTCTCGGGGAGGGGCGCGAAGCCGCGGCCGAGGCCGCACACCCTCCGAGTAAGCGCCCATCACAGGGGGCCGCGGGGGCAACATCCCCACGAGCCCCTCCTTCCCTCTCCTCCTCCTCCTCCTCTCCTCTCCTCCTCTCCTCACTCCTCCTCCCTCCTCCTCCTCCTCCTCCTCCTCCTCCTCCTCCTCCGCCTCCGCCTCCGCCTCCGCCTCCGCCTCCGCATCCGCCTCCTCCGCCTCCTCCTCCTCCTCCTCCTCCTCCTCCTCCTCCTCCTCCTCCTCCTCCTCCTCCTCCTCCTCAAACTCACCGTACGTGCAGTGCCGGGGTTGGCGGCCTGTCTTCTGAGCATCGTTTATCCGATCCCCATGCCCAGCGGCGTGGCCTGGGCCCCACTGGCCGATGTATCCCCCTAGATGGGGATGTGGGCCGTCCCCTTCGGGTTTCGAGGGGTGTATCCCCAACTAGGGTGGTAATATGGTGGGGATCTCGAAGGGGATGGGGATGGGGATTGGATAAACGATGCTGATCTTCCCATCCCCACCATGACAGGGGAAGCGAAGTCCCCGAAGACGGGACGGGGTGGGCACGAAGGGGCATCAGAGCTGGCTCGCTATCAGACAAGGCGTCCTAGCTTCATCGTGCATCTTTTCATTGACTTCATTCCATGCGTAGCATGCCCTCCCCGCGAGCAAAAACAAACATTACGACGGGAAACGCTTCGCTGCTTTCGGTCTCCGGTGGCCCTCGCCAAGCCATCGGGGCCGTGAGACACGACTCGAGACGAGAAGCTGGAGACGGGGTCCAGACCTCGGGGGGTCGGCGCTACGAAAAAAAGTCATGACGTCGGGGGCCTGTGTCCGCTGGGGTCAAAGACGACGCGGGTGCAGGGTCCACCAGGTGGCCCAAGTGCACCCGCCCCACCCCTACCGCCTCCCAGAGTACGAGCCCCACGCCGCAGGCAGAGCACCGCCGGGAGCGCGGACGCCGCGGAGGTCATCAATTCACACATGGCAGGGGTGGGTGCCCCACGTGCACCACTGGGAGGACCATGACTGACCCTGCGGAGAGCGTAGAGCTGGAGCCTACGAACTAATCAGGGCTAGCTCGTACTTCACTGTGCTGGAGGTCACGTCAGGCGCAGATGGGCCCCATCATCACCATCACCATCACCATCATCATCATCATCATCATCATCATCATCATCATCATCATCATCATCATCATCATCATCATCATCATCATCATCATCACCATCATCATCAGCATCAGCATCATCATCATCACCACCATCATCATCATCATCATCAGCATCAGCATCAGCATCAGCATCATCATCATCATCAGCAGCAGCAGTATCATCAGCATCATCATCATCACCACCATCATCATCCTCATCCTCATATCCTCGTCCTCATCCTCCTCCTCCTCATCATCAGCAGCATCATCATCAGCAGCAGCATCAGCAGCATCATCATCAGCAGCATCATCATCATCGTCAGCATCATCATGATAATGATCATGGACATCAGCATCATCATTACCATTGGCAACAGCATCATCATCACATTCATCAGATTCGTCAGTCCTTTGTTTCCGAGCTTGTGTCTAGGAGCAGGCCCAGCAATCTTGCGTCACCACCGCCATCGAGGGTGAATCAATGCCACCACAGCCACCACCACCATCGCCAATCCCACGATCGTTCTATCGACACGGAACACCGCGAGACACCACGGAACAACATGAATGCCAAAAGGCACCACGACACACGACTGGACACCACGAAATAACCACCATCGATTCCACGATTGATCTCCCTCCATCTATCGGTATCACGATCTATCGACCTAAATACCGGTCTCACTCTCGATCACACTCAATCGATCTGACCCAATCGATCTGACGATTGATCTGACGATCGATCTCACCATCGATCTCAGAGGGCCCTCACGGGACACCAGCGGGAACCCCCCGGGCCAACGCCGGCCAACCCGGGGGGATAATAGACATTGAGCCCGATTTCGCCATCATAGCCAAGGCAGGATAATTCCTCTCGCCATCCCACGCAGCTTCGCCTCGCCCGCACGCACGACACGAAACCGAAGCCGATTTTCAGGAGGTGGGCTCCCCTGTTTCTGAATCGTGCTCGTGCTGCAGTGTGGGCCTAATAAAAGGATCGGGGCTCTGATCCAGTCGCTCAGGATGGCGCTGTCGTCCCAGCGCGGACCACTTTTCTGGGTCCGAATCGTTCCTCGTCGTCGTCGCTGTCCCCGTTTGCCCTCCCCCGTCCTCCTGCTCCTCCCACTCCTTCCAACAAAGTCTCTGTTGCTCCTGTTCGTCCTCGTCCTCCTTCGATCTTCCTCCTCCTCCTCCTCCTCCATGTTTCTCCTGTGCACCCGCCACCACTCTCTCGCAAAGCTGTGGAAACGATCCCTTGTCCGCGCCCGCGTCGCGACGCTTTCGCCTGGGCGCCCGCCGCTGCGGCCGCGGAGGCCCTTGCCAACGACGGAGGACCTGGCTTCCCGTTTCGGAGGAAGGAAGAGGAGGAGGCCGCCCAACGCTCCTGCATCCCCAGGCGCATCGTATTTGGACGCTCGAAATGGGTACCGAAAAATGGGTACAATTCCCAACAGCAGGTGTTGTCCCAAACCAACAGCGGCCGCTGTTGGGCAGGCGGCCTCCTGCCTCGAATGGACACAGGCCGCGGCGGCTTGGACAGCGAGCCCTGTTCAAAATGAATAAGATCCGCTGTTGGGCATTGTACCCATTCTTTCAGTACCCATTTTGTGCGTGCAGATCGTAGGGGTCGCGGGGAAGGAATAGGTTGAGCGGCGGGGCCACCCAATGGATGTCGCAGGGTTATGGTAGCACACCCTGCCTGTAGCGAAGCGGCGTAGCTTGCCAGTGCCGCTGTATACGGGGTGGCGTAGTAGGCAGTAACAATGTACATGGCGTGACTTGTCAGTAACGCTGTAGACGAGATTGTACCCGGAACGGTCTGGCTATCGAGGGGTCGTTCTCGCCATCGTCATCGTGCGGTGCCACACGAAGATGAGGTGGTAGCTCCTGTAGAGCAGCAAGCAGGCCTCTCTTACAGCGGTGCGCAATGGCGACGCTCTCGTTGTGCCCATCGTACGAGATGCGGCCCGCCTCGTAGACGGCAGTGTGGTGAAGATCCGCAGCTTCTCTGCCCTCTTTGTCCTGGCAATCGGATGTAATCGTGCGCGGGTCTCGTGGCAGAAACTCTTCTAGTGGCCCGTGGCCGTCGGAGCTCAGCGAGCTGCCGTCGAAGCTCAGGTGGCCCTCGGGACTCAGCTGGTAGCCTTCGCAGCTCCGCTGGTGGCCCTCGTAGTCCTGCTGGTGGCCGATGTAGCTGATTTCGAAGCTCTTGTAGTTCAGCTGGTGGTCCTGGCAGATCTGCAGGTACTCGTCCTAGCACACTTGGTGGCTCTCGTAGCCAAGCGGGTGCCCCTGGTGGCTCAGCTGGTGGCCAAAGTAGCCCTCGTAGCTGAGCGATTTCTCCTCTCAGTTCACCTGGTGACCCGAGTAGCTGAGCTCGTGACCCTCGTGGCTCCGCTGATGGCCCTCGTAGCTCAACAGTTGGCCTGGGTAGTTCTGGTGGTGTGACTCGTTGATCGGCGGGTGGCGCTGGTGGTTCTGCTGGTGGCCCTTGAAACTCTGCGGGTGGTTCTCGAAGCTTTTCTGGCAGTCCTTGAGGAGGGTGGTGGCGATTCTCGTAGTTCTGCGGGCCACGGTGGCTCAGTTGGTGGCCCTGGAAGCTCCGATCTGTGTCCGTGCAGTTCAACTCGTAGTCCTCGTGGTTCTGCCGGTGGCCCAGGTGGCTCAGGTGGCTCCTTGAGGCAGCTACGGGAGGGTGTATCGGCGGATCTGGTGAACTGCAACGTCCATGTCGCCATGTCTAGGGCCGCGTGGTGGCAGTAGCGTCGTCCCTGCTGGCCGTGGTAGCTGCCCCAGCCAGGTGGCATCGAGGCTGGTGCTTGCGGCTTTCGCAGTTCGGCCTGGAACTTTCGTAACACAGCTGGTAGTCCTCGAAGCTCTGCTTGTCGTCTTCGTAGCTCGGCTGGTGATCCTCGTAGACCTGCTTGTGGCCCTGGAACCTCAGCCTGTGGTCGTTGTGGTTCTGCGTGTGGCTCGCCAAGATCAGCTGGTGGCTCCTGAAGCTAAGCTGGTGGCCATTTGCGTAATCTCTCCTTCTTGTCGTCGCAGCTCTGTTCGTAGCTATCGAATTTCAATTGGTGGGTATTGAGGCTCTGCTTTTTGCCGTTCTGGTTGCCTTCGAGGCTCAGCTGGTAACCGTCTTAGTTCTTTTGCCGTCGACGCTCCTCTGGTGGCATTCGCAGCTCTGGTCTGGCTCTTGAAGCTTTGCCTCTTGCCGTCGATGCTCTACTGGCGGCCCTCGCAGCTTTGCTGGGAGCCGTCGGAGTTCGATCGAATCCAGCCGTGGCGACGATGGGGGAATCCTTGGCGACATAGCCCGTAGGGCAAGGGTGCCGCTGCGCAGGGGGATGTCCATCTGAGTTGTTTGTTACGGATTATGCCCACGTCTACCCCGGATTGGGGCGCCCGAGGGGGCAGGGGAGGCGCAGCCTTTCCAGCGGCAAGGAAATAGTCGAGGAGCACGTCAGCTGGCCCTGGAGGCACGTTCACTTCGTAGTCCTAGGGGCCCGAGACGGAGTCGTCGGCTGCCAGGTCATATTGTTCCACGTTCCGAATGTCACTGCAGTCCTGGGGGCCTTGGTCGTTGTAGCCGTAGTCCAAGTGGCCACCGTAGCTGTCGTAGCCTACATGGTCCTGGTTCTGAGGTCCCGCGTAGCACAGGTGGCCATCGCAGTTCTGGACAACAATGCCGACCTGGGGCCCGTCGGCGCCAAAGAAAGGTACCTCTATGATCGCGCACTTTTGATACTCCGTGTCGTACTTGGCGTCGTGATTGTGTCGTACTTGCTGTGGCACCTGGACGCCATCTCGAGAGCGGCCGTGGCGGTGAAAATGATGTCGCCAGATCGGGGTTGCACCCCATGCCAGACGTTGTGCCCCACTCGTTGTTGGGCCGCGTCTGCTCTCGCCCGTGCCCTTCTATGCGTGTCCGGTCTCGGCACTGCTGCGGGCACGCCTCTACTAGGGTGGGTCGGTCGAGTAGGTCCTGGCCAACGCTGAAGCTGTCCGCCTTGTGATTCGACAACTGGTGGTTGATGCTGTGGTCGCGGTTAATCACCCTTTCCCGGATGTTCTCGCGCAGGTGGATGTTGTTGCAATCGCGCTTGAGTTCTTTCTCGTCGTGTGCGCGCTGCTTGGCTCCGACGGTGCGGCGGCGCGCTGAGGCCCGCCCCCCCCCCGAAGGCGGCCGCGCGGGCGGGGCGCGGCGCTGGGGAGAAGTGCGGAGCACAGAGTTCCCGCAAACGGCCATGCCCCTCCTCCTCCTCCTCCTCCTCCTCCTCCTCCTCCTCCTCCTCCTCCTCCTCCTCCTGTGTACGCAGCTCCTTTTTCCGATTGCGCATTGCACGATGGGTTTCTTGTTGGAATTCCAGGTCGTCTACGACACGCGTCCGCGGATGGGGAACACATCCTCGCAACGGGCGAGGCTTGGCGGGAGGTGCAGGATAACACCTATGGCGCGAGCGCGCCCACTTTGTCCCCTGCCCCTCCTCCTCCTCCTCCTCCTCCTCCTCCTCCTCCTCCTCCTCCTCCTCCTCCTCCCCACCTCCTCCTCTGCCCCTCCCACCCCCCTCCCCCCTCCCTCCCTCGCCCTCCCCCTCACCCCTGCCCACGGGCGGCGCGGGGCAGAGCTGCACGCGTGCTGGCTGCGGGTGCACCTGGCATCCCCAGGCTATGCCCGCACCGTGGACTGCACCAGAACCTCGCGCCCGCACGCAACACCGCGCCGCCCTCGGCCCCCAGGCGGCCGCAGCCTTCCTTGCAGCCTTCCGTGGCCACTCGCGGGTGCCTTCCATACCATCCTGTTGGCCCTTGCGAACCGACGCTGACCGACGCAACACGACGCTAGTCGACGCGAGTCGACACGAATCGCCGCTGAATCCGAAGTATCGCAGCGACTACCAGACGCTACTCGGTGCGAGCCGACGCCAGAGACGGAACGACACGGGTGCACGAGGCTCCCAGGACCTGCCGCCGAAGCAGCCGAGGGACCGGCCAGTGCCCGACTCTCGGAGACGGGCGGCCTCGGACCACGGCTCTGCACGGCCGCGGCAGGCTCTCCCGGGACGGCGTCCAGCGGAGACCCCCGCGGCACCGCGCAGCCGCGGCGGGCCACCGCGCGCGCGCCACACGGCAGAGGGCGGCCTCGAAGTCGTACCACTCGGCCACCAGCCCGGCCTCCAGCTCCGCGGACGCGTTGCCCGGGGACTGCGAGGCCGCGCCGCCCGCGCGGAACCCCGGGCCGTCGGGCGTCGTCGTCGTCGTCGTCGCCCTCCTGCTCCTGCTCTCTCCTTCTCCCCGCTGATTCCTCCCTCCTCCTCGTTCTCTCTTTCCGTTCCTTTTTCTCCTCCTCCTTCTCCTGCTCCTGCTCCTGCTCCTTCTCCTCATTCTGCTCCTCCCCCTCCTCCTCCTTCTCTCCCTGGTCTCTCCTCATTTCGCCTTCCTCCCTCCCTTCCTCCTCCCCCTGGTCTCTCCTCCTTCCGTTTTCCTCGCTTCCTCCCTCCAATCATCCTCCCTCCTCCCTCTCCATTCCTTCCATTCCTTGTCCTCATCCTCATCTCCCCTACCCCTCTCCTGACCCGCCACCACCACTTCCTACTCCTCCATCTCCTCCTTCCACTCCTCCTCCATCTTGTCCATCCTCCTCCTCCCCTTGTCCCGTTCCCTGCTCCTCTTCCTCCTCCTCCTCCTCCTCCTCCTCCTCCTTCTCCTCCACACTCCTCATCCTTAACACCAACAACATCAACGCAACCAACAGCGTCATCATCACCATCACCATCATCATCAGCAGCAACCTTGTCAGGATCAACACCATCATGATAATCAGTATCGTCGTCAGCATCAACATCATCATCAGCATCATCGTCATCATCATGATCATAGTCATCAGCATCATCATCGGCAGCATCAGCATCGTCATCGTCGTCAGCGTCATCACCATCACCACCACCACTAGCATCATCATCACCATCTTTATCCTCAACATCCTCAACACCTTCATCATATTAGCAGCAGTAACAACATCATCATCACCATCGTCATAACCACCACTCCCATCACTATCATCATCGCCATCATCTCTTAGCCCACTCCTTCCTCCTAGGGAAGGGGAGGAGGAGGTGAGGAGGAGGATGGCTTTAGAAAACACTCGGAGGTTCCAACATATTCCAAGGGTTCCTTTGCAATCCCGCAAATTCTGGGAGGGTCTTGAATCATTCTCCTCCTTCCGTAACCGCCAGCGCCAGAAACTTGAAAGAGGGTATCGCCTAGGTGATGTTCCCTTGCATGCGTGCGTCATTGCATACGTTACTCTGAGTACCTCTGCTGGCCCGCTCTTCCGCCTCTTTCCGCGGCGTTGGGCACTGGCCAGTGCCGTGGCCCGCTCACCAGTAGGGGTCCTTGGCGCAGGGAGTCGATCTGGTCCACAGCATTGGGCCGTATCGGATGGCTCGGTCGCGCCCTGGCGCCAGCAGCGCTTCGAGTTCATTGAACATTGCAGGCGCAGCTACTCGAAGGTCGTGTACAGTAGGAGCTCGACCACAAGAAACCTTCCACGAGAAACCAAACCCTGAGACCCCAGGACGCTCATTGGTTTTTGGTGGACCCCTTAGCAAGACCATCGAAACCCAAGAAGCCCAGGGCACCCTGGAGGCAAGCAGGGTGTTTGTTGGCATGGGCTTCCACTGCAGAAACCTCATGCCACATAACCATACTGGGACTTGAGGGCAGGAGGATTGATTCAGCAGGTTCGCGGCGCTACCTAGTGGCTTCGGCCATTGATGGAAGAAGAAACAAAAAAATAAACATAAATGTGTGGCTCCCCGCGCGAATTTCCTGGACCTGCGCTGCACCCCCCTCCCTGGCGCGCGGCGGCGCTGGAAGCGCCGCCGGGGGGCCCAGCGCGGAGCCAAGAAATCCGCGCGGAGCGCCGACGGTTTATGTTTATGGCGTTTTTCTTCTTCGAGTGGAGGGCCTCGTGCCACAATTCTCACGCGCCGCGTGCCAGCGTGGGGACGGCCGACGAGGGAGAGCCGTGCGCTGGCTGTTGTGACGCCCCGCGGCCGCACTGCCCGGATCTCACGCCCAGAGGGGCCGTGCCGCGGGCAGCCAAAGGGGGGGGAGAGCGAGCGAGGGAGAGAGAGCGAGCAGGCGGGGGCAGAGGAGGCGGAGGAGGAGGAGGCGGAGGAGGAGGAGGAGGCGGAGGAGGAGGAGGAAGAGGAAAGGAGGAGGCGGAGGAGGAGGAGGAGGAGGAGGAGGGGGAGGAGGAGGAAGAGGAGGAGGAGCGTATCCAAAGGAGTCCTCGATCCTCACCTACCCTAGCTCCACACCTGGCCCGCGAGCCTCCATCACGCTCTTGATGTGGAGCGCAGGGTCGAGGAGCCTGCGCTGCCTCCCTCGGGTGGGGAGACGGACCGCGAGCCGAATTCCCCCTACAATCGCAAGTGCATTCTCGATATCGTCCCCGATCGCGCGATGGACGGCGAGGCGACAGGACTGATACAAGAAAACGCAGAAAGCCGGGGAACCGCGCAGGCCGAGCCGAAACCGACAGGAGCCAGGAAGCAGGGTCCGACAGGCCGACGAGGCCGATCAGAGGAGACACCGACACGACCATCATGGTCGACCGAATCGCGGTTATGTTTGCACCCCAGGACACACTAGGCATTGCGCTGCATGCGGCAATTCGTGTGCCACGCACCAAGCCACGTTTTGAGAATGACCTGGCGCCAGGACCAGGGCACGGACTCAAGCAGCTCACGAAGCCGCTCTCATCCACCTTCCTCCTCCGAAGGTGGGGGCTCCCCAAACCACTTCAAAAACCTGCGCTCCAAGGTACGAAAAATCGTGCAGACAAAAACGTGCTTGTGAAGAGTCTGTACAAACACTCGCTGCCACTTAGGCCTGCACTCCTGGGACCCAGCGCCAACGATCCGCAAAGCCTCCCGCCCCTCCCCGCTCGAGCGACGGCCCAGCCCCCGCTCGCGGCACCTGGGTCCCAGGGAAGCCCATGGCAGCGTGCCCCATGAGGGCGGCGATCGAGTCCATCTGCCAGAACGGGGGACTGAGGGAAAGAAGGGACGAAATCCAGCGCTGACAAGTGGGCCGCGCGACTCGGCCACACTGCGGAGGCGCCCGAGGAGGGGGCCCCATGCGTGCGGGAGGACGACACGTGCACACCGCATCCGGGCCGCAGCACAGGTGGAGACGAGGGACACGATTGTCCGGGCCGCCGACGGCCGAGAGCCCAGGCCAGCCCGAGAGTCCCATGGCCGAGGCGGCACAGCGCCAGCAGCGAGAAAACCAAACACGTTCGCGGCGGACGGGGCCAACGGGAGGGAAAGCAACTGGGCGACGTACGAAGTACGCGGGGAGACGCGGGCGGCATGCAGTGTCAACAGAGACGTCGAGTCGGCACCCGTCCGTGCCAACTCCCCTACCCGAGAGCACACCTTCGACCACGCCGCGGCCCAATCGGCGTCCACCGAGGCTCCAGGGCCGAGGACAAAACCTAGATAGAGAAGAACATCAGTGATCGTGAAAACTGCCCACTCGGGGCAGGCCGCTCTGAGTTGATCCCGGACTCGGGCGGAACGGGGCGCCGAGAAGGAACCACCCAGAGGGGCCACTTTACATTTCCGAGAATTCAAACAGAGACAGGCGAGGGACTCAGCAAAACCGAAGATTCGCACCTTCTCCCTGAGCCCCTTCGACGTTCGGACCATGCTGCCTACGTCCTCCGCGCAGCACCGCGCGACGCCGTGAAGAGGGCGCTGGACAGACCACTCCATGTCGGCATCGAAGACTTTGGACGAGATCACATACATCGGGCCCGACAGGGGGCAGCCCTGAACAACGCCAGAGAGAATCCAGTAGAGGAAGTCCCAGGAGCCCGACGAGGCCATGAAGCACGGGTTGAGGCAGTAGAAGGTCTGGGCGCGTTCCTGAAACCCACGGGGCAGCCGAGCCAGCCAGACGTTCAGAAGGGCCCACCGCTAGGGGACCGACGGGAACGCTTGCGAGAAATCGAAGGCGATCAGGAGGGGTTCGAACGGGTCCGACGGCAAGTACCCCCAGCTCGCGATCCTGGAATAGTTGACGAGGCCGACGACGTTTTGCAAATGCTGACGACCCTGGACAGACCCACGCTGCACAGAGACTCCAGCTTGCCCAACCCATCGGCGGACCCAGTAGTTCAGGAGAGACCTCACGAGCTTATCGGAAGTGTTTTTTCTCAGACCGAGGGGACACGCGTCGTTGCTGCGCCTCAGGTCCGAGCCCCACGAATTCCCTCGTCTACCGAGAGGTCCTTCGGGATGAACACGCCCAGGGAGGCCCCGAACCAGGCTGGGACCCCACCCCCCGGGCACAGATGGTAGAGCATCTCGATGAGGACACCAGGGCCCGCACCCGCAACCCAACCTTGTGGCAGAAGCGAGATGCATGTTTTCCCGCCGGCGGTTGCAGAGGCGGGTCGCGTTGGAAGACCGCCTCCCAGTGGATGCCGAGGGCGCGGTTCCGCTCCTGCAGAGACGACGTAGACGCGGGCGATGTCGCAGCATCTGCAGCGCCGCCAGGTCCAGGGAGGACGACGCCTGCCAGGCAACGCCGTCGACCGAACGGCAACCACAGGCGAGCGCGACGCTGAGCTGCTCGACGTTGCGCCGCGAGCCGACGAAAATCAGCAGGCCGCTCCGCCTCCAGCAACGCCTTCTGCAGTGCCGCTTCTCGCTCCTGCGCCACTTGGCGTTGCAGGTCCGCGTGGAAATCCTGACAGCACCCGGCGTTGAGCAGCGAGACCTTGTTAATGTTAACGCGCAAGAACTGCTTCGTCCATTGGTGACGCGCAAGCAGGGTGCGGGCCATATTCGCATCAGATCTCCAGGCAGCCCTCGCCGCACTCCGAGCAATCATCGCCATCTGCTGCTTGCCCTTCGGCAAGCGTTGGAGCTGGCGGTCGCGGACCAGGCAGGCAGCAATATGGCGACGCTTGGTGGCCAGCCACAATTGCTCGACGGGCGAATGGACAGAAGCCAATCCACTCAGATACTCAGCCACGACGCGGGCAAAAAGGCGGCCCGATCAGATATTCTTCGCGATCCGGCGGTCGCGTGTCGAGGGCTTGCTCGTGGCAAATGGGGGCACGATAGGAACATGATCGCTGATGCGCAGGCGGTGGGGCTCCTCGGGCTTGCCGCGCGCGCGCATGGACTGGTGGCACTGTGCGAGCAGCCAAGGCGGCGACGCGACGAAGGCCCGATCCACGCGGTTCGCGGACTGGGTCCCCTGGTGCCAAATTGCGGGCATGTCGGTCTCCATTTCCGTCATGCCCTTCCATGCTTGCCGCCAAATCGCATCGCCGGGCCGTGCTTCCCACGCGCGCCGAGAGCCCGCCGCGGCCGCAGCGCGCGACGGGAAAGCACGAGGGCCACCACCGCTGTCGGGCGGCGGGGTCGAGCAAGCAAGCGTTGAAGGCGCGCCCGTATCCGCCGCAGCCAAAGACGCCTGCGAAGGACCCGTGGAAGACCCAGAAGAGGGCCCGCAGCTCGATGAAGAAGCCATCAGAGAAGAGCCCGCATATGACCCAGAAGACGGGGTATCGCGATTCGCCGCCGAAGCCGAAGATGGGACCTGCGATGCACGCGAACTGCGCGAGAAGTCAACCAGTGGAGTACTTGGGCAGCCCGGGGGCCCAGCAGAAGATGTAAACCTTGAGGGCGGACAAAAGGCCGACGGAGAGGACGACGGGGCCGAGGAAGCGCGCGGGGTAGGCCGTCGCGATCGGCTCTGAGGGGGGGCCCGCACCAGAAGCGGCTGTCGAACAATCCGCCTGAGCGTCGGAGATATTGAAGTCCCCGATTAAGATCTGCGCGAAACGCATCGGATCGTGAAGAACGACCTGCTGCTGGGCATGCGCCAAAATACGGAGCCGAAGAAGACCAGAGTGAGCGATGCCATGATGATGGATATTCCAAAGGGTGAAAGTAAGACCAGACTCGCAATGGCAACGAGCCAACACCAGTACCCGCCCACGAACTGCATCGACACGTCGAATATCGAGAGTATGGGGAAGGTGCCCGGGGAAGAGGGTGACTGCGCAGCCGCCGATTTCAGCGCCGGGAAGACTGAACATGCTTGCAAAAAGTTATGCCAAGCGCGCTGCAAAACTTCAGCAACGGCCTCGCCATTGCCTCGGACCTCTTGTCGCGCGATGATCGAAAAATCAGAGTACAGGGATGTGAGCATGGAGAGCTTGCGAGCGATGCTCTGGGAGAGGTGGTGGCAGAGAGAAAAGCAATTCCAAGACGCAAAGCGCACCTCGTGAGAGCCCGTCAACGCGCTGCCCTTCCCACTCGACCGCGCGACGCAGGAAGAGGGTTTTGACCAAGACGTCCAGGGGGGGCCTTGTCCACGCGCAGATCCGCCAGCTTCGCATTGTTCCAGCGGCTACAGGGTCCATTCGCTGGATCCACCTGCAGCGACGCAATAGGCCCCCACTGATGGCTGATGATTCCCGCATCCCGATCCCCAAAGACTCGCGCACCGAGATGTTCCGTGAGAGCACGCGCCACACGTTTGACCGCCATCCCCCGTGCCTGGGCACGCCGGTGCTGATCGAGGCCGACGAAGAGCTGAGCGGCGCGCCCGAGAGGAGGGTCCACTGAAAAACGCCTCCAGGAGCCTCGGGCATCACGAAGGGCCTTAAACGCATGACGAACTCGGTGCTCAACTGTGGTGTCCAGGTCGCCTTTAGGGCGGAGAATGGACCGACGTGACAGGCTGTCTCCTTCGAGGTCGCAACGCTCACCCAGAACGTAACCAGCGTCACGAAGCCAGGGGGCAATCGCGTCCTTGACGCCAGAGAACGGCGCATCCGCCTTCGAGCTGATGGCAAAGATGGCCCGATCCACCTCGCGATCCCAGGAAGCGGAGCGCGCAACAGGAGGGCGGGGATGAGCTCGGGCCAGGTCCAACTGCTTCTCGAGGTGCCCGAGTCGCTTCACCAGGTCGTGAATCGTGATCCCGTGGGTCGAGATCTTCCCATTGACTGACTGAAACTTCGGAACCATCTCAGCAAAGTGCTTATCAAAGGACTCCTGGCTGCGGCCAAGCACGGGTTTGGTAGCCGCTTCCACAGCAGCCCCGAGGTGCGAGCCCAGGATCGAGGGGAGTGTCTCGCCCACGGCCTCGGTGATCGCAGCACGGGACGCGGCCTTGATCTCCTCCGGCCAGGACTCTCGCATGCGATTGATCCGGATCTGGACCGCAGAGGCAGCCCAGGGGCCCGCATTGGGGCCACCATGGGCAGCTGGAGGTCCCTCTGGCCCAGCATGAGGATCGCGCACCCGACCAGCCACATGGTGAAGCCCATGCCCGTGGGGAGAGAGCCCAGCCAATTCCTGGGACGGGAACGTTGGGACAGCCTCCCATACCTCCTGCAGCGAGCGCCCACGGCTGCGAGATCGCTCAGAAGCGCCTGGCGAAGCCAGGGCGGCCGCAGCCGCAGCAGCACGAATATCATCACCAGGAGGATGTCGACTGCGAGTGCCAGAGCACGGTGGGGCGTCGCAATCCACAGCGGAGCCCGAGGACTCAGAGGCGGCACGGCGACGCCGAGGGGTCGACTTGATGCCCTTCGTGCGACCATCCCGTCCCATAGCAGCGCCGAGTGGAGCGGATCTCGAAAGCAAGCTCTTGGCCCCAGCAGTGAGCAGCTCGACTGGGGTTGCCTGAAACGGGAGCTAGCCTCGGACTCGAGGTATCCACTTCCTGCCCAGAGACAAAAACATCTTGAGCCAAACTGGCTACGGAGGGAGGAGGAGGAGGAGGAGGAGGAGGAGGAGGAGGGGGAGGAGGAGGCGGGAGACGCGAGGAGGGAGTTTGTGGTGAATGGCCTGACAGGGCGGGCTCAGAATCGAAACAGCTCACCGTCCGAGGGCGCCAGCTCGTCGGCCGCGTCCGCGGATGCAGTGCGCCAATTGACCAAAGGCCCTTCAGCCCGGGCAGCTCGGATTCCAGCAAGCACGCAAAGAGGGAGGGGAGGGGGGGTGGGGGCTGACGCGGGAGGCTGAGGCGCAGCGGCGCCCGACCAGCCAGCGCGGTCCTGGCAAAGGAAGGGCGCGGGGTGATCAGACAGGCCAGTCAGGGCACTAGCCGAACTTGGTCGGTTCTTGTGACTCTTTGATCGGTCCCGGTTCTTCCCGCAGACGACGGCGACAGCGACGACGGCGGCTGCTGCGGCGGTAGACGACGGCTTCCCCATGATCTCCTCAGGGGGCGCGAAGTGTGGGTGTGTGGCGGGGTGGGGGTGGGGGGGGCGAAATGAAGGGGGCAGCGAATTGGCGACACGTCGCAGCTAGATCGGCGATGGGGTCTCGATGGCGAAGACGGCCCCTCCTGGGCCAGGGCGAGACAGATCGGCGATGTATGGGCAAATGGAGGCTCGCGACGGTGTCCCCCCCCCACTTGCCAATACCCACAAGAAATACACGCACACCCCGCATGATTACGCCTTCTCTGGACAATCTCCTGACCCCAGGGTGCGTTTTCAAAGTTCTGGCGCGGACGTGCAGGACGAAGCAGTCAAACGTGGGTGGTGTCGAGACCTCAAAGACCCGAAAAACGGATTTTCATCCTGGGCCCCTTCCCCAAGGCTCACTTGTCATGTTGCTGCCCGCTGAAGGCCCCAGGAGGCCACGAATTCAAGAAAAAGTCTGGCGCGAGTGATGAGATTCGGCAGACGCCTGTGAAGTCTGTCCAAGTCGACGGGTCCCGATGCCCTTGACCCCAAATCCACGGGCTCTTTGCCGTGTTGCCGCGGGGTGACCCGGAGACCCCAGCAGGCTCCTGCCGGGCGAGAAGAGGCACTCATCTCCTCCTCGCCCCGCTCCAATCCATGCTCCCCCTCTCCTCCTCCTCCCTCCCTCCCTCCCTCCCTCCCTCATCCTCCCCCTGCTCCTCCTCATCCTCCCCCTGCTCCTCCTCCTCCTTCTCCTCCTCCTCCTCCCCCTCCATGTTCTCCATTCTTGCTCGAAGCCGCTAGAACCGACAAGTTCTTATGCCCAAGTGCCGAGCTCGGCTTTCAGGTATAAGGATGTCTGTGGGTCCTTGCGCAAACTCTCCCCTCCCCCCTTTTCTGATCCGCCTCCCTCCTTCATCCAAGCTAGCAAGACCACCCGAGCCAGACAGACCAGCTAGAACAGCCAGTCAGATCAGCCAGGTAGACCAGCGGGACAATCAAAACGAAAACTGCAATGCACCAGAAAGAGACAATGAACAACACATATGCAACGCACAGCAATTTTCAATACTCCCGGAAGCGGTCGCCAGCCCACCGAGACCAGATCAACCAGACTAGCCAAGAAACGGGACCAGGCCAGACCAACCTTACTAGCGAATTAGCAAACACATCCGAACCAGGCAGACTACAAGACCAACGAGTCAGACCAGCCAGGTAGACCGAGCAGACCAGCTAAATGAAAATTGCAATGGAAACAAAACTTGCAACGCACAACAAAACTGAAATGCAAACGCAACAACAATGATCCAGATGGCAGTTGCCAGCCCATCCAGTCCAGATGAACCAGACGAAACCAGACCAAACAGACGAGTCAGCCAGACCAGACCAAGCAGATCAGCTAGCAAGACCACCCCCCAACCAGAGAGACCCAGACGAACATTGCAATGCAAAGAACAACATCAATGTAAAACAAATGCAACGCAACACCCAATTGCAATGCTCCTCGAGCCAGTAGCCAGTCCAACAGGACCAGCCAGCCAGACGAGCCAGCAAACTGGACCGACTGAAAGCTCCAATGGCAAGCTGGAACAGCGAGCGCGAACAACATGCCAGCTGGATGTAAGACAAATCAGCCGGGCCGTGTCCCTTCAGGGTCGGCCGACTGACTGGAGGAGGAGGAGGAGGAGGAAGAGGAGGAGGAGGAGGAAGAGGAGGAGGAGGAGGAGGAGGAGAGAGAGAGAGAGAGACAGAGAAAGACTCGGCCTTGCACTGCATGTCTGTGTGCACCAGATGTTTCTCACCTGCTGCAGCATGCTACAACAGTCGAATTACGTCCCACAAATCGTCGGATCACTGTCGAATCGAACGAAGCCGGGGTGACGCGCACCGCGCAAACCCTGATACCGTGAGGTCAGGGGACTAGTCGCCAACGTTTAAAAATCGTGCGAACGGGGGGCGGTGCCCCTCGGGTCCCGCAGGGACCGACGCCCACAAAGCGGCGGGCACAAGGCAGGTACCCGAGACACCCGATCTCCCCGGATGGGCCCACACCCCAGCAAAGCAGTAGCAGGGCGGGGAAAACACAACGACGAAGGCGAGAAGAGGAGAAGGCAGGCAGCACCGAGGGAGGGGGCGCTGGGTTTGCGACCGCCCCCGAGAAAAGCGAAAAACTCAGACGGAGGAGGAGACACCGTGGCGGCCGCAGGGACGGTGCCTGGTCGAAGCAGGCGACGACCACGTCGAAGTTCAGGGCTCGATGCCGGAACGGTGCTTACCGTTCAGCACGCGAGCCATGAAGGGTCGGCCGTATCAGCCGTTCAAGATAGACATGTAGTCCGAGACGCAACCAAAGTAAATACTGAACGAAAAGCACCACCTCAGCTTGAAGCCCACACACTAGTTCGAAATGCCTTCGCGTGTCGATCCAGACTCACGAGTGGCCTCCACTTTGTCTCGTATGCGTGCGCGGAGTGAGGCTAATCGCCGTTGCCATCCTTCTTCTTGCCGCCCTTCCCCTGAGGCTTGTCCTTCTCGTGGCGATCCAAGAGCTTCTGTGCCATCTGCTCTAGGTGGCCAGCTGGCGGCGCCCCCATTTTCAGGCCCCCTGCCCAGTGGATCAGGATCAGCGCCATGATGATCGACACTTCGAGCAGCAGTTCAATCAAAGAGGAGCCGGGGAGACTGAAGCCCTCGGCGACGCTGAACTGGAGCCGCTGGAAGGTCTCGTCGCAGTATATGCGGACGCGGAAATGGCAAATTGCAAGCCCCATCTGCTCCAGAGACGCGCCGGAGAGAGTCTGCCTGTAGAACTCCGTGAGCGCCGGCTCCAGCAGTTCCTTCAATTTCTTTGACTCGAACATTGGCTTGAGGGCGGCGCGCGCGATGTGCGAATGTGGGGGGCCCAGCTTCGGTTTCAACTCCGAGATCGCCGCCACCCCTGCGCGCTGCTTCCCTGCCGACGTGGATGCTGAGACCACCCCGCGCTCTGACGGCGCCGCCGTTGATGTCCACTCCGACGCCCTGAGATCCCAGAGCTGCTGAGCGCGCTGGCAAGCCATCTTCAGGATACTGTTGAGGGCCTGTACGATGTCCTTCATCTCGAAGCCCTCCACTTCGACGGGCCCGCCACTTTTTGCGTCGTCTGCCGCGTCTGCCACGTCGTCTAGACGGCCCTTCTCGCGCTCGGGGTGCCTCGGGGGCATCCGCGGGCTGCTTGCTGCAATCAGCGCAGCGCTGGAGCCGCGTGGCGACGCGCAGGACGTCGGAGCGACGAGGGCCGAAATATGTCACTCAGCACGAGGGCGCCCCGTCCCACCGCGCATCGTTTTTTGTACCTGGGGCGCGACTGCATCGCGTGGCACCGAGCATTTTCACGCGCGCACTCAGAACCTGCAAGCAGCGAAAACACTGGTTCGCCACCGTCACAACACTCGCCTCGTTCCCAACTCCGCGGGCCCGCCCAGCACGAATCATCAGCCGCTGCATCGGGGAGAAGCCCACGTCGCGCATCTGACCCGTCGGGCCAAGCAGGCGGCGCGCGACGCCCTCGAACAGATCGCCCTCGGACCCCGCCGGCCTCCGAAGCGACGCAGGCGGGATGTGAGGCTGGAGAAGAAGCCTGGGCACGAAAGATATTAAAATCGATGTCGGTTCGTTCTCGATGCTCCGAGTCGTGGAATAGTTTTACGAGCGGGTGCATCTTCGGCGCGCGTTCCCCGGGACCCCCCGAGCACGCGCAAACGCAATGCAGGCCTCTCAAAGGTCCGAACCCCCAGGGGCTCGCATCGTTCGTTAAGGCCCAAGAGTCCGACAACGCCGATGCCGAGCCTGAACTTCCCAAGGTGCTCGCGCGCACTTGTCGGCGAACCCCAGGGCATTTACGCCGCGACTGAAACCATTTAATACGTCGAACACGCAGTTCTTGAACGCAGGGGAGGATGCGCCAATGCGATCACGCACGAGCCGAATACCATCTCCTCTGAAGACCGTTCCCCTGCAGGACTCGCCCCGGGATCCCCATCCCCGCTCTCATAGCTTGCTCAGCGGTTTCGTGGATTTCCACGCGATGGGTCTGGTCGGGGACATAGGGGCATATCGCAGCCTGGGCGAACGAATTCATCGCCGCCATTTCT